GGTTATCTCAGGTGTTACATTGTGCCGCTACCATCTGCACTGTTTGCAGGCCACATTGTGACCAGTCCCTACCCAGACAGGCCTCTCCTCTTTTTTTTCTTCTTTGCCCTGTTCCCCTGCCGGTGTCCCACACTAATGAATGGACTTTTAATCATCTGAGAGCTCTATTCAGCTGAGTGGAAAATGTGAAGGTCTACAGAATACAGTTCCACTTGCTGATAACAAAGGGTCAAGTGAGTTATTCACACACACTGCAGAGAGGCGTAGAGTGGACTCCCACTCTGGCTCTGAATATTCTACAAGCATAAAGAGTCATAGGCACCTGTTTTCAAACATACAAAGTATTTCTAATGCGTTGCGCAGGTAAACGCAATCAGTGTAGACTCTTGCTGCTTTTGTCACTGGATTGGCCTCTGAGCATGTAGTTACTGTTGGAGTTTGATGTCCAACTGAAGGTAAACTAGCAGCCTGCTACAGCACACTCATATTGAAAGACATGGACCAAAGGCTCATTAGAAAAAAATAATATTTTAACGTTTTTTCCCATGTCATGAAGGCCATGAATGAAATGGCATATCGGGGGGGAAAAAACCCCCAAATGATAGCATTTATGATATGTATAACGGACAACCAGGGAGGCTGGGGTCAGGAAACCAGGCCGCCTCGATGCTGCACGCACAGGAAGGAGGCTTTATGGGGAGCACTGTAAAGCACAGCGGCTCACTTTACCACAGCCGAGAGAGCCAGTGATGTGCCATCGAAGCAGCGTTGTTTCGTCTGCCGAGATTTACTGCGTTTACCCTCCAGATTGTGTCATTACTCAGTGGTCTGTCCACAGAATTACATTAGGCCTGGTTCCAGCACCATGCGTCAGATTTAATGCCCTATATATCCACCTATTATCCCGGGTGAAGAATGGCGAGTCTGTAAACAACTTGATTACAGAAATGTAGACAGAAATATAATCATCCAATTGTTTCTGATCATTCCAATCAATCTATGACATGGAATCTCCAGAGACTTTTCTGTTATTTAGGATCGAATATGGATTATTAGTTAGCATTTTTCCGCACTTTGCCCATGAAGGCAGCACAGTACTTTCTGAAAGAAGAGAGTGCTCTGTTTCTGGAGTTAGATTGCCACTCCTTTAGTAAACATTGCAGACAAGCGATGGTGTGGGCTTCACAGGGCTGTTAAAAGATCAAGTTAATGTTCCCTGTGGGTGTGTGTGTGTGTGTGTGTGTGTGTGTGTGGAAGGGGGGGGGGTTGTCCTTGTTGTCCAAGCTGAAATATTTTCTTGACCTTTTGAAGTAACACATCAGGTAATCCCTGTATAGTAGGAGGGAAATGGCCCGGAATGATCACGAGTGTCCAGTTTTGACCCTCTGTGTGGTTGTTTCTTTATGCTAGGGTGTGAGAGCTAATGCCAAAGGTTATCAGTATGCAGACCATGCTGGCAGCCTCCCTTCAAACACCTCTCTCTGTACCTGCAACTCCTCCACAGTGAGGTGGACTGTACGGTCAAACTAAAGTGTCCGTAACGGCAGAGAAAGGAATGCTTCATGGAGCGACTCCCTTTTAATAATTAAACATTTCTTCCAGGGTGTGATTGCTCAGCAAATGTGATAATTTCACGTCTTCCTACATAGTGAATCATTTACAGCACATTCCTCTCCAGTAAGATGGAGGAAAAAATATTTGTATGAAGGATTTGCAACTGTTGTTTGTTTGTTTTTTGAGTTGCTGATTTTTCAAACTGATTTAACTACTGTTGAAAGTGGCCATTTGCCACAGAAAGAATAAATGGCACCGCTAAACGCATTCTTAAGTCATGAATTTACTAAATATAAGTCGCATCAAACTCTACAAAAATGATTACATACCTTTAATGAGTTTTACCCATTAGACATCATAGTGGAATCTCTGTTTGTGAACCGTTTGTGAGGGAGTGTGTGGTTGCTGGTCTCTGTGTTTCCTCGCCATCGACCGGCGGCTAAAAAAGCACTTCCTTGTTTTTCTTATTTTTCTTAATTCTTTTTTTCTCCAAGTTAAATTTAGATTTGTTTGATATTTCAATCGATATAGTATAAGTCATTCAAGACCTGGATTTCCCTGATGGAACAATGGACCCCTGCAACACAGTTCTACACAGAGTCATATTTACTTTTACACTAAACCTGCCCGGTGGCTCAGCCAGTTTTCTTGGTGTTGTGAAAATTTGTTAACAGAGATATGGACAACGTGACTGTGCTCTTGTAATGGACAGAGTGGAGTCACAATGTCTGGGAACTAAAAGCTAAGCTAAGAGTGCAAGATTAAGGATAAAGAAAAACACTATTAGCTTTTCCTCATGTTGTTTGTAATCTGTCTTATAATTAGACAAAATTTTTCCCATAGAGTTCAAGTTGCAAAAAAGTATGACATTTCTCTGGTCTCCTCCGGGGTGTGGAAAAGTCCATCTGATATTTTCCGAAAGCGCCAAGGCTCAGCCAAAGAAACAAATTAGCTGTCTGCACAGTGGCACAGTGCACTGTTGTGAGTCTGTCTGGTTGTGCACGAAGACAGCATGAGCACATTTCTGTGGCGAACTACTGTTTTAAACTGCTTGACACAACAAAATGGAGTATGTTTAATTTCTTTAAAAAACACACTTTAGCACAGCAAGAGCCCTGGGAGGAGTGTAAACAGATCACACTGTTTTCCACACACACACACCCTTCAGAACATACTGGCTTCATAGCAACCTCCAGCTCCATGGAAACGGGGAGCTTGGCCGTCGCGGGGCAGCGAGGACTTGGATTGAGATCGTGCTGTGTTTCATATCCAGCCAATATCCTTGTCTGTATGTCATGCCCAGTAGCCTCGCTAATGCTGATTAATATTCATTGAAATTCAACACAAAGCCTCCATGTAGCTTTTTTTAAATAAGCGCCTGTTTCTTCTTCAGCCGGTTATTTTCCTGCTCAGAAAGAGTAAATTGTGTGGTGGCTATCACATTGGTGTGTTTAGCGTATTCCAAGCATTCATTTGCATAGGCACGACCAAACACAACATACAGTCACAAGTCTGGGAGATTACATGTAATGGGAGCATTATGGGCACTACCAATGCACTCAGACTACATATTTGCTCGCTCAACAGCATTCCTGCAATAGCCAGTCCATTTTTATTATCAAACATTCACATCAGGAGCTTCACAAAGCATCCACTCACCCACCCCATCCCATCAGCCCTCAGCACTATTTCAAAGGATGCCTTCGGAGGACTCTGCGGAGCCATTTGGGTTATACGACAAACCACAAAGAGACAGGAAAGCCCGGAAATATTTCAAGTATATCAGCTCAATCTGCTCAATTGAAGAGATATCAAGAAAGCTGAGAGTTATGTGAAGTGGGGGAAGTTTAAAATGGAGTTTTGAGAGTTTAAAATGTGGCAGTGGGTGAGATGATGGTGGGGTTTCATTGATGAGGAGAAAAACAAAACAGGAAGCTGGAAGATAGATTGCAAATTGCACTCAGTGTGTGCTACGTGGGTTAAGGGTTTTGGAGCTGGGGGAGCTTGTCTGGCGTTAGCTTACAGGGTCCTCACAGGACTTCAGAGCCTCTGTTGAGTCAGTCATTAAACCTCTTTATTTGACTGACTGCACAGATCCATTCACCGTCGAAGATGGAGTAGACGGGAGGCCGCGGCAGCATGTTGACACTGTACACACGTGCATGTTGTGCGCGCTTTAAGCGCTTTAACTCAGTGGGCAATCAAGATCATGTGGAAATGCAAACACAATCTTCAAGCTGGGACTGACCCTGAAAATGTGTTGGATTTGAAAAGCGGGGGCAGGGTTCAAGGGGGTATTTTCTTAATTTCTTGATGGACCCACATGCTAGTGTCAGATTTGTTATTTCCAAGAAAGATTTGATGGAGGGTTTGAGGCTGCATTATGTTTTCTGAAGTCTGATGTTTCTACCTTGTGACGCCTGCAGTTCTTAGTATTTAAGTGATTTCATAAAGTTTTCCTGTAATCTCAAATCACTTGCCAGCAGCACAACAGCAGTGATGGCAGAAAGCACAGAGCTTTAGCCGCTGGAATGAGGAATGTGCACATCTCCCAACAATCCCCACAAGCCCGTATACCACTGAGAATTACAGGCTAATTACCTCTGGAGAATCTCAGGGAGCATGAGGTGATGCAGGGCAAGATCTAATCAATTAGAGGCAAGTCACTGATCCCAGATTTGTATCTAGGACAGGCCCAATAAAACAGGCACAGGGAGGGATCACACACTGCTTTGTGTGGGTGCACACATGTGGGAAGGGGACGGAGCTGCATTCGGTCTGTCAATACCAGGATTTCAAGAGGAGAACAAAAAAACTTGGGAGAACCACGGCTGAGGAGGATTTTATACCAAAAAAGACCCACTTTGTCTTGCTCCATGAGCTCTGGAAAGGGGATTAGGCACTTGATGATCTGCCCATTCAAAACCACAAATTTGAGCGGATAAGCAGCGAAGGAGAGGAAAAGATGCTTGTCACAAGAGTGCTCATGTGAGGGAAGGCCATTCATCTAATGGCTATTGGCTTCAAGAAGACTGACTCTCCAAGATTCCAAACTCCAAAAAAAAACTCATGCGTGACACTGAGAATCTACGTCCAAACATTACGCAGTGCTCTGTGTGGCACCTAGGGAGAATTACACTAAGGAACTTTTCTCCAGGTCCGGCTCAGAAATCAGATTTCCCTTTCGGCGTGATTTTGTAACGTTCAGGTTCGGTCGGTGAAAGCTGTAAATCCGGTGGAGAGAAATAGAAAACAAGTGTAGCTTGCGGGTACGGAAGGAGTCCGGTGGGGGGGGGGGGGGGGGACACAGATGCGTGGGGGGTTCGGGTAGGTCTCGTTGGGGAGGTCTCTGCGGAGCGGAGGACTACCTGTTAGAGCTCACAGCGAGGGGCGGACTCACGCTTTCCCCAGGACCGCGGAGAGAGAGGCCGACCTGCGCTCCGAACATGTCCGTGAGACTCCTGGTCTGCGCCGTGCTGCTGGCGTACCGCGGACTGCCAACCTGCAGCGGATTTAACATAGACGAACAATTCCCTGTGATCAAAGAGGGCAAAACCAAGGGCAGCTTCTTCGGATTCTCCGTTGCTCTGCACGAACAGCCGACGGGCTCCAGGCAGTACCTGTAAGTTATCTGATCATGTGCATGCTCAGGAAAAAAAAAAAACTAAACAAAAATAACCCACGTCTCTTTTAATCAGGACGTGAATTGCATCTGTAGTCAAATCTGTAAAGCCAAGATAACCGTCATGTTTTTTATCCGCCTCGGTAAAGGTAAAGGCGCACACTCACCAGCGCCAAAACTCTCCAGTCTGCTTTAACACCTGTCGCGCAGGTTTACAGCGGGCTCTTTGGGATCATACACGTCGTACACGTTTTTTTTATTTAATTTAAACACAAAACAATGTTTAAGATACCACAGGCTGTTTAACCAGGGATTCGGTGCCCGTGGTGCCTGCGTAAGTCGGTGGAAGCGCACCGTGCAGAGCTCGTAACCGGACAGTTCCGCCAGGGGCTCAGGGTTATGGTGACCATCAGCAGAACGAGTTCTTTTACAAGCTGTGAAACAGAACTGATGGTTGCAGGTTTAAACCAATGCGATAAGTAACTCAGGCACTGCAGCCATTATCGACTAGCAGACTTTTATTGATACAAAACAAACAAAAACAATTAAATTTGTATATGAAACATTGCCTGTCAACTGGATGTTTTTTTAATTTTCAACAGCAAACAGGAAACCAAGTGAAATATACTGAGATGTGGCCTGTTCAGTGTTTGAAACACAGCAAGAATAGGATAAAACAAAAAATACTGCTTGGGAAAACTAAGATCTGTAAATTTAATAGAAAATGCATTGTGGAGCTTTTGTAGAGTATTTTAAACATCATTAGATGGTATGAACATTTAATGAGCAGCAGGGCCCATACAAGGGATGAGGTTAACCACTCTGAATGACAGCGGACAAATGGTCCACATATATTAGAATACGATCTATCATATGGGTGTGGGATGGTCTTGATTATATTGTTAATTGTTAATGTCTATACAGTCATACAATGATTTGCAATTAAATTCTGTTTACATTTAACAGATATATACAGACTTGTTTTGAGTTGGGGTTGTGACCTTAAAGTGACATCAGCAACAAGAAAAAAACTGTTTAGTTTGAGAAAGGGAGTGTAATGTCCAGCATCAGAAACATTCAGTTTGACACAAGTGACAGAAAAGAGTCAGGTATTAGCAACTGCTTTTGTTTAGGAGACGGCCTTTGAGTGCCCTAAGACGTAAATGTGTATAATACTCTACATCTTTTGTAACTTCCTATACCAGCGTCTTTAATGGAAGCTCCCCAAACTGTATCATTGTTGGGTGTAGGCTTTCATTCTTCCAATTACAGTGGCTTCCTTATCCCTCTGCATCCACGGCCACACAAACATGCTCATAACTGGCAGTGATCTGTGTGCCGGTGCTTGCTTTGAAGAGTAATGCAGGAAGAAAAACTGTAAACCATGCCTTACTTCCTCTGCCATGTCATCAGTGTAGTGGCTGCCTCCATGAGGCTTATCAGCCTTATCTCCCCAAGTCTGTTACAGGGATTCCCCCGGTTGAGAGAATGGACAGCAGTGTCCAGCTGAAGCACGATGTGCCCTCTTGGCTGTGTGCTGGAGAAGTGGTCACTATCTGTATCCTAAGAAGGGGGGTGACAAGGCTATGAGACGGCGTGATTGTAAGGGCAAGGTTGAGTAAAGGCTTATCAGTCTGCTGCTAGATTTTCTTTGTACTTTGTGCATAGTCGGCAATGTTTGGGCCCTCCACATTTTTATAGAATATGAGTTGTTAAAGGCTCTTATTGGAAGTTTCTCTTGTTTTTATTTTATTTCCCACAAGTCTAGTTAAATGGTTCAAGTTATTTTGTGACCTATAAGCTCCTTTTTATTGCTTCTGTTGCAGGGTGATTTTACGAACTCTATAAAATGGGACTGTTGGTTCAACATGGTGTTCGTTTGATTCATTGCTCCACATCCGGCTGATAGGAGAGGTTGCTTTATAAATGTCCTCAGTATTGGGAATGACCTCCTGTGGTCAAGGCACAGACAGTGTACAATGTTGTATTATTACCTAATAAATGAGTTTTTTTAACCATAAAACAGAATGATTGGATACAAGAAGAGAAAGGCTGTATGCTCGGCTATAGTCACTATAAGATTTCCACAGATATGGCGACTCTAATTTAGCCTGCTCTCGCTGTTATTACTTTGCATGCTGAGTTAAACTCTGTCTCTTTGGCACATTTTAAACTGTTAGCTGGTGCAGAGATTTGTATTTGTTGTCTTTTCTAATGTTTGTCAATAAGTTCAAGCTCAGTAAACTGTCCATTCTAGTCTCTATTTTTCAGAACGTGTGTAAAAACAGTCTTTGCCTCAATGGTTTAAGGAGAGAGCCTGAATTAGCTGCACAAAATAGAAAACGTACATAACGTGAACTCAGAGTTCTAGAGTGCATTTGGACTATGCTTCAGTTTACTATATTCAACCACCGATGTTGTAAAATATGCTTTTTTGATGCAGTTTGCAGGACAGATGCATGTTTTTTTGTAGACATCATAATGTCAATCTGACCTGTTATTGCTATTTGATTTGCAGTCCAGTCTGTTTCCTTTGACTTTCCTTTTACAGACCGGTATCTCGTCACTAGAATGAATTGTAGCTTACATGCATGACAAATGCAACCCCCCCCCCCCCAAAAAAAAAAAGAAAACAGGCATATAAACCAGTCTTAACATGTACATTTTTGTGCATCAGTGAGTCAGGCAGGATCCAGGTTAAAAGTCAAGACGGACTGTTTCCAGGAATTAAGTAATAAAGTTGTTTTTTTCTGAGCCCCTCAAATTAGTCATCCAATTAGTTTGTATGTAGTCATGTTTCATGGCTGTGCTTAGGAAAATGATAACTTGAAGGACACTGGTTATTGTTGGGTAGAACTGCAAGTGAACAATCTAAAAGCTACCTGAGGCTTATTTGTCCAGGATGTTGACCTCCTCCCCCTTTGTCTTTGAATCACTATTTTACTGTCTTAAATGATCTCTTGGGAAGTTTTCCTGCTGTTTTTTATTTGTTATTTTTTTGTTCTCTGTTGTGGCAGGGAAGAGGCACTGCACAGTCAGCTGGCCACCTATTGGCTCTTCCAGTCCCCTAACTCCATGGTATGCTAGGAATGTTTTAGCCTTCTGTGCACAGTCAAAACCTGCCAGGTTTCAGGTTGAGACAAGGCAAGTGTAAAAGTAATGATGATCAGAGGATTGTTGGAGAACATACAGGCCTCAAAACGAGAAATTCTTTCTCTTCATCATTTGTTAGTAAAATAAGCCGTTTTGCCTCTAAAGGGGGACATCTTAAGAGTTGGGAGAGGTTGTATAATTTGTTAGATAGACTGTTTGCTCATCTCTGTCTGACTCCAGTAGCCTTAGGACAGCTTTTTAGTTTGATGGGGCCTTCCCATCTCTGCTGTGAGGTGCAAATTAAACTGGTATGTTGCTGTATGCACGCCAGTCCGATGTTCAGTCAGAACATGCTCAGGAATAGTTTCTGCATTTGTCTAAACCTCTTAGACTTACACGGAATCACAGAACGGCCATTGTTCATTAGTATAATCTCTCAAAAAGGACTGAATGAATTACAGAAACTAAACACTCCCTATTTTAAATCTGATTTAAAAAAAAAAGTAATGTAGGGGCAATAGGAACAGAATAAAGTGAAAAAGATTCTCCCCACTGCGGTTGAAGGATGGCTGCAAAACACTTTCCTTCCTATCTGTGTCAACCAGCAGTTTGGCAACTAATTTTCACAGCAATGTGTGAGTTTTCACTGAGCTTTGTGAATGTACACTTGTCTTCTCTCATTTATATGGACATGTGCTGGAAATCCAGGCAGGTATCGGAAGTAGATGGGTTTTCATGACTGCAATCCGTGTGAGTTGGAAAGTAAACTAGCGTGAAACACGAGGTCAAGAATATTGACTGGATTTATATGTTGGTAAGTTTTGAGTAACAGTCTGCAATCAGTAAGTACTACAGTTACAATGACTTGTGTGTCATTTTTAAGCTCACCTTGGTCAAACAATTAACATTTGCTACCCTAGCTAATGCTTTTAGTGAGCAGAGAGGCTCAGACGGCTGCTGTGGTCATGCAGCTCATTTCGATAAATCAAAGTTACGATCACATAACTTTTTTCTCTTAGCTGTGACCATTTCGTTCTCCTTCTTTATTCTTGACAGGACTTGTCATATTTGCGGGCGGGATCCAGATCCATTTGATTCCACTTGAGCGTGTACATGCACGATTAATTGATTTCCCGACCGGTTTGCCTGGGTGTGTTGGTCCAGCTTTGAGAGATTTGATTTAATAGGATTTAGGTCACTTTTGTATTTACATGCATTTTTGAAGTTTTAGACTTTGGACTGACTTACCCAATTTTATTTTGCAGTGTCTTGTAAACATGCTCAGTGAACACACAGTGGCTAATGTTGCTGGTTAGCAACTTGAAAGGCAGGATTAATGAGAGAGCTGGCTTGTGATGGTTTGTTTTAAGCCAAGCCCTGCTTGTTGTACTCTTCTTCCCGTCCCCCGACCACCAGCATCAGGTGCTAATGAGGACGTTCTGCAAAAGGCAAAGCTTGCATTGATCTGGCTGATCCTAATTCAGGTTTCTTAATAGATTATGTCAATGTCGTACCAATTTGTGGGAATGGTACATATGAAGTGTTTCATCCTCAGGTGTCTATGTGACAAAGCAATGAAAGAGTAGCAATTTAGAACCAACTGAAAAAAGTCATATAAGTCTAATTGGAATTTAGAGAATGTCCTTTTGCATGCTGTTCCAAAACAAAAGCAACCCCCTCTATAAATTTGTCATATTTGTCACATTCATGTTAACAACTTCAATGTAGATGCTCTATTGTGAGTGATAGATGTACATTTGGCAAAGATCCAGCATTCCTGACTATGCTATTGGCCTTTGTCTCTAATTAGAGCAGAAGAATGATGCTGCTTTAAAATGTAAATTTTCTAACAAGTCAGAAATGCCTACTTATTTATCTTTGTACTTCCAAGGACACTTATTTTAAAA